AGAAAAAGGATCTAACAATATTGCCCTGACTGTTGTATGCTCGAACGTACTCGAATCAGCCGCTATCACATTGCAAAGTAACTTGTCCGACGACCCAAGTTAATGGCAGTCACTATGCCTTCTGATGAAAGTAAAAGCCAAATCCACAAACTTAGTACGAATCACTCATCACTTGAACTATGCACACTTTGGCGAGCCCAGATTTAGTAGAGTAACAGTTGAATCCTCAGCTGATGTGAAAAACATTCTGTTCTTCGCAAACCCGCTGCAACATCGATCGTGTGGGATATGTATCTCCTGATGTTCCATGGAACGTGCGACAGTCGAAAAGTAACTTTGAAGAAGGACACAGCAAGGCTGATCGTCTAAACATTATCTTCATTCATGGTGTACCAGAACTTCCTTCACACGATAGTCAAGAGGGCGGAAATCATGATTAAGAATAATGGCGATTCGTCCGCGAAACACATTCCTTGGATAATGTTGTAGCGCGATCGCTTAAAATGTTACTCCTCTCACCAAATTATAGAGGATGCGGCCCGAGGATCTTAAAGCTCGTGGTTCAATCCAGGCAAGCAGCGATGGATGTGTTGCATTCTTGGTGCAAATAATAAAAAAGCTTTCAATCGGAACTTGGACTAAAGACTGCAAATGCTTCTCAAACTCAAGTTACTAAATTAGCTGAAAAAGCAGACATGCCGGCGATGATTGTCCTTTTATCCGATACTGACGTAGATCTAGATGAGGGTTGGGACGCGCCTTGACCAGAGCAAAGTGCGGAAGTAATATCAGCGTCGCATCAAAAAAAACTAACGGCAAAACCTCACATCGGTCGGCACTCTCGCACATCTAAATTTTCGACCCCCTGTGGTATACTAGAGACCGATAAACTAGCCTGCTTGTACACGAAGGCTTAGGTCCTCTTCAATAAGCTAGTCGAAGTGAAAGATCGCCAAGTTTCCCGGAAATATGATACCATCGGCATCATGGAGCCGTGGTTTCACACTGAAATGACAAACGCTGAAATATTGCTACCTGGCATGCCACTAATTCGGAACGACAGACTGCCAAAATGAGAAAGCGTAATTCTGTATTACCGAAGTGACTTACAGTGCGAGGTCATGCAGGATTCAGATACGCTGCTTCCTGGTTCACTTTGGTTCCGCCAGCAGTTAAGATGCAGAGACACACCTTATAACCCTGGTGTCCCGTCCCCCTAACTCTACGTCGGAAACGGACCACCAAATTGCGACTGCTCTACGGCGAACTCTAAAAGGAAGATGCACTCACATCTTGACCATGGATGATTTCAATGTGAATTGTTTAGAAACTCCTGCAGGAGCGGAGAACAAGTTAAAGCTTATCTGCAGAAGCTTGCAATCAGTGTTCTGCTTTATAATCATGTCACTTCGCCCATTCGGTTCCGAAGAGGAAAGAGGCCATCTGTGCTTAATGCTGTGCTTAGCAAGGAAGAACACATGATTGATGCGTTGGTTGTAGACTGCCCGTTGGGTCGCAGTGATCATGTAATTATTAGTTTCAGCTTCATCTGTTATGCAGAAAACCGAGATGTGGACCATGAGACGGCACCAATCATCACTTGCTACCATCGCGTAGCCCACCTCGTGAGTGCCACAACCTGGTCGTTCCACGCTGAAGCCCCCCCCCCCCCGGATGTAGCCTGGCTCGAGTTCGTAAACAAGTTCATTCGGCTGGTTACGGATGCTTCAGAGACAAAAGTGTGCAAACGGTCAGAAACAGCTACTTACGCAAGGAGCAGAACTCGAAAATTGCAGGCAGTACGCAATGCAGCGTGGCGAGAGTGTAGATTACCCCAACACCAGAAATCCGGGATAACTACATAGCAACACGAAACCACTGCGCTCAATTTGTCAGACAGGACAAAGCCGCGCATCAGCAGAGCATGACAGAAACCTTCAGCGCTAATTATAAACGGCTGCATAAGGACGTCAATTGTCTACGGAAGTTGGAGCAAGGATCTCCGTCACTCACGACGACTGATGATCCAACACAAACGGCTGTAGAAGCAGCAAACGCGCTGCGGATTCATCATGCCTCCACCTTTCAGAGCGTATTATCATCAGGATATCCTCCAGCTTTTATCGCCCTGCTGCCGGGACTCACTCACATCTCCTTTAACACCAAAGCTGCCTTGCAGAAGCTGACCAATCAACGCAAGCACAAATCCCCGGGTGTCGATACTACCGGCCCAGAGGCACTGGAAGCAGCAGCAAGTCAATTGGGAGAGCCACTGTCTCAGTTCTTCCAGCGCTGCTTTGACGAGAACCAAGTTTCTGCCATGGGGAAGCAGAACCGAGGCTTCAAGCCGCCGCCCAGTTTCCATTCTCCTTATACTATCCAATTCGATGGAATCCATCATAACCGTTGCGCTGGTGAGCTATTTGGAAAACTGACATAATTTCTGAGCAGCACGGCTTCCTTCGATCGTGCGTAACAAATTTGTTAATAGCACGAAGTAGCTGGACCTAGTCAGCTGACGATGGGGATAATGTTGATGTGATTTACCTGGATTTCTTGAAAATATTTGACCGTTTAACTTATCGGATACTCCTTTCCGAGCTACAGCGTTGCGAGATCGGTGAACTTCTTCTAAGCTGGATAGCCAACTATCTCCTTTAATGACAAGTGCTTGTCAGAGTTCGGAGCACCTACTCTGACCCCATACAAGTTGAATGTGGTATGCCTCAAGGATCGGTGCTGGGTCCCCGATTGTTTTTGGTGTTTAACAATGACCTCACACAGGCAATGAAATCTTGTTGTTTGTCGATGACGCCACGAGTTGGCACAATGTTCATGGGAATACTGATCAGCAACTGCTTCAGAGTTATCTGGGCACGGCACACCAGTCGTCCATCCAAAATTCGCTGCAATTCAATGTGAATAATTGCTCTCCATACGACACCTGCGGAACCACCGTCACAGGCTCGGAACACATGTGCTGCAGCGAGCTGCCACCGAACGTGATTTGGGCGTACCGGTTCAGGATGATCTGAGTTGTTCCAGACAATCGGCGAAAGCATCCAAAACTAGCAACCAACATGTGGGCCTGTTATGACGGACGTTTGAACAAATAGATCGCTCCATGCATATTGTGTATATTCGTTCTCATGTCGAATATGCAATTCAAGCCTGGCATCCATGGCTAAAACACGACATTAGTGCATTGGAGTAGCCCCAACATCGAGCATCAATGTACTCCATTGGGATGTACCAGCTTCTGTACGAGGAGAGGCTGGAACGATTTGAATATTCAGTGGATGTTGCTGCCGTTTACGAGATGATAACGGTGTACTTAATTCTGCACGATCCACATCATGTGTGCCACTCTTTACTGCAACTCAGCAGTAATACCAAGTTGAGAGGTCACTCACTAAAACTGGCGGAACAGTACAGCCGCCTGGATTGCAGCAGGAATTTCTTTTCCGTCCGCGTGTGTCACCCGTGGAATGCTCTTCCAGTATCGGTCATTTCTGCACCACCAATAATCATATTTAAAAGAAGTTTGGATGACTCACTTACTCATCTACACTTTGTACATCTCCATCTTACTCCTAGCATATACTTTGGATTTACTTGCTGTTACACGTATGTACTATGAAACTGCACGGATCGCAGGACTACAGCAAAACAAGGGATAAGTCCCTCATTTAAATGTAAATAATCCACTGCTTTTTTAGTTTTCGATAACCCTGCAAAACCACTCAACAGGACATGTAGAACAATGCTTCTTAAGCCGTATAAATTCATTGTTCATTGTTTGGAATTATACAAACAAAGGGCAGTTGTCCAAGCCTTCCTTGTTATCTGGGGTTAAGATACTTCCATAGATTTTTCACTCCACAGACTGACAGCGACCGGGGCACCCAGACCAGTCGTAAAGTACATACCCTCTCTCGTGTGTGTTAATGCTTGCCTAGGTGTACTGTGGTGGCAGCTACCTGAGTAGATCGACCAAGTAATCGATTAAGACTGCTTCATATCTGTCTTGTTCTGCTCCCACCAACCTCTAACCCCGCTTCACCAGTCTATCCTGTTCCAAACTCTCCATTTTACAATTATAAGCGCCCGAAGAGATTTATCGAATTCAGTGCGCTTTGCAAAATTGTATTTTAAAATTTCTATGGGTATACTTTTCGACTTCAGACATCTATGGAGTGTTTCAAAATGAAATGTCAGATTCGTAAGAGACCCGGTTAGAAGTACAGCTTCCTCCCGATGTTTAACCACAACACCCGTTTGACGAGCCACCAACTGAAGTTGATCGCACATTGTAGTAGATTGGAATGGCACCGGAATTTTCTCCACCGAGACTGCTAGCCATAGAACGCCTTTCCAAGTTACATCATTTCTGCTCGCACGTCCGCCTTTAAATTGAATTACAACAACTCCTTTGTAAAAAGTGATATAACCTATGTTCGTGGGAGCTGGCATGACACAAACTAACACTTGGTTTACCAGCCAAATCCCTACAAAACCAAAGTAGAGGAGTTTATATTTGTATATATGTGCAGCCTATTTCGCAAGTTGCGTACAAGTTTGAAGGCGGGATTCTCACTGAACTGTGGTAAATCATTTTTCTGTTGCTCTATATGTGTAAGTGTAAAATTGCAAGTATATGCTTTGGAGTAATTCGGTAAAATCGCTTATCAACCATTTCATATGCACTTGCTTGAAAAATCCCATAGACACTATATTACTCAAAATCAATGGGAATGCGTTAGTATATAATGGGCGCGATCAGCTAACTATTTTTCTTGGTACAACCCAGTAGAATAGCTACGGGTAGCTGATTGTGAATGGAAGTACCAATGACAATTATATAACTACCCTAGTTAATGGCACCCAAGATTCACTTTCCTCAGGGAAGTTTGCTTGCGTACGTTAAAGCTGAGATTATTCTCCTAAGAACATAATGTGTGGCCGTCCGGAGAAGTCAGTGAACATCCTTGAGAGCTCACCTTTTCATAAGCTTCCGCATCGGCGGCTACCTGGAATGTCGTCCGGCCACATAGAACTCTACTAATCCGCTGCTCCGTCGTACCGAGTTGCCTGCCGGGATATGAGTGAAGAAGAAACAAGAAATGAACATTATCCATCGGGATAGCTGACATCGTTTCTGCAACGTTAAATCAACAGGGAACCGGTTAATAAGTACGGATTCCACCACTCAGACTTTACAATCAGTCGTCCCATCTGTGCGGGATGTTAGTTGTCCTTTCAGTCTGGGGAGGTACATGAACTTAGTTTTTTTGTGAACAAGCGAATGATAGATATTGTACCTGGTATTATCAATAGTATAATCGTCTTATGTGTATTTTAGCGGCGTGAATGCATCCCGCAGAGTATGCAAAACATTTAGACACAAGACTTTACACCACTGATGTGTACGCTCAGGCGGCCCACGCTGTCTAGATTGGGATGAACTATAGACGACAAGGAGTACGATCAGGCAACCGTTGTTCCAGAGAAAGTGAGAGAGAGGGATACAAAGGAGGAGATTGGTTAAATTAGTGTGTAGTTCTACAGGGTTCAGTGTTTGGCTCATACCCAATCTTGGGTTTCATTAATTCTAGACTCTTCGAGAATAAACTGCCAAAAACGATTGAGTACACAACGGTAAATATTTCAGTACCTGCTCACGCTTAACGCAGCCAAGTTCAATCTATTGACGACGCGCTAATTTCGCCTTTACCAGTAGAAGCTCAGGAAGCGGCTTTTATGGCGCGGTTTCATTGAAATCGAACTCAGTCTGTTCCTACTAGAATACAATGTTTTCTTGGAGAGGCAACAAAGCATGACAAGCATTTCCGCCGAGATCCAAAGTGGAATATTCAATTTAAGTCTCACATCCATGGCAAATTAAGTATCACGCAATGTTTGAAAGTCAAAACGAAGGCCAAATAAATTATCCATCCATTTCCTTTACCAAAGTAAATCCATGCTCCTAGCAATTTCCAGCTGACAATAGCGGGATATGTAAATTGGCCTTCGTCGTTCTCCCCGAAACATCAAATGTTGCACTAATTACTGTGAACACATCAACTTCGAATGAATGTAATGACGGATTCTGGTTGAAACATTTCCAAGGTTACTGAGAGCGTTGAACTACCGATTACTTGAAATAGTTCTAAAAGATACTGCGCACAACTCGCAGTTTGTTAGTTAGATCAAAATAAAAGCAGCTGTCGTCAACCGAATAAAAACCCTTACAATTCTCTCCATCAGTATACGACCATTTCTCATAGGTGCGAGACTGTTTACTCGGGTGACATCTGTGCACCCACTCCCCATTTTGTTTTTCCACTTGTGAACATTTTCATTTTAATGGCATTTCTGTGGCTGTTTAAGGTCTTTTGTGTAAAATGATGAAATCGCGCCATCCGGATACACAAGGCTTAACTTGACTTGACCTGAAATGCCACTACGTACGGGGTAGTGTCATAACTGGCGTATCAGAACCTCGATTACGTAAGTCACGTTTGTCATCACCTAATAAAACCCTGTTACCCGATCTATGAGTACATCACTTACTGATACACACACACCTTTGTTCCAGTGATCTTCGTTGCCAGCCATTGGCTAAGAACCTATTGCTGGAGCTTTGTTAGAGTAGTTATGGTGCAAATGAGTTACGTCATGCAGACACAAGCTGCACCACGATTTACGAGACGGATTGTTTGAATGCATGGGGTAGCATACAATGGGAAAATAGAGACTCCCACAGGTATGAGCCCGGGTTTTTGAATGCGTACTAGAATTTGGGACATATGTATGGTTTTAAGAATTATAGGGGCCTTGCGAGGGCGCTGCCTCCAACGGCGCTTAGGTATAGTAAACCCACCATACCAGCCGAAATGTAGAAAATGGGGCGGTGTCTGTGATGTAGCAATCACTTTTGCCGCCCGGGACGGTGACTAAAGTTTCGCCATGACTGCGGGCAGTATAGGCGGGTGAAGGCCACACAATTGGTTCAGTGTAAAGTGCACATTAGTTCTCGATGAAATGGCTGATCGTTTAGGACACTGAGGTTAATGTGATGAAAGTAACCACAGATGTCACACATAGTGTAAATGTGTCGGTGGTCATACAGAGTAACACTAGAAGCTCTTAGCACCTTGGGATATTTTACCCTTTATATTCGGTATCGAACAATCGACGGTACAAAAATAGCGGCCCCCTGTCACCTGTCGCCCGGGATGAACCGTCCCCCCCCCCTACACAACGCCTCTGGGCGGTGTAAAATTGCAACTTCACTCAGTATCTTGCAATGCACCGGTGGATTGAGTGTATTGGTGGACAAAATGTCGTGCTACCAAAAGTCTTACAGGATAAAAACAGCTATGCTGTATAAAAGATGACCATACTTGCCTGGTTCCTGACATGCTCACAAAACAGTCTCAGTTTAAGAATACGCGCAACATGTAGAGAAGGGGTGTCCAAAGATATTACAAGGAGTGACACATTTTATGAGGTAAACATATCGGGCCATATTCACTCTGACGTTTAGATATTAACAAAAATTACACTTGCGCGAAAAATGTCCAAGACTGAATTCATTATTTCACGATGAAGCCGCGGACAAGTTGAAATGGTAACGCGAGCAGCATTTGGCTCGCAGACCAGACTTTGTACACCCTTGATTTGGAGCGATAACTTCTTGTCACATATTGTTTGGTTTTGTAGCAACCAATATGTGTTTAGATCGCCACATGAACAATGAATTTATACAGGCTAAGAAGAGTTGCTTTACAAGTTTCATTGGATAGTTGCCAGGGCCTTCGAAGTAATAATAATAATAATAATAATAACAGTAAAACAATTATTAATTTAAATATGAAAATAAGAACTTATCCTTTGCTCCGCCGTGGTCCTGCAATCCTCTTAGATTCACAACACCCACAGTAAACAACAAATGATCTCATGGTATACTCCAGGTGTAGGATGGAGATGTAGTGCTAAGTGACGCAGTGTAAGTGGATGAGTGCATCGTCCAACCGTCTTTTAAATACTGTTAGTGTCGGTGCAGAGACGACCGATTCTGGGAGAGCATTCCACGGGTGACAGACACGAATGGAAAAGAAATTTCTGTGGCACTCCAGACGACAGCATTGTTCTACGAGTTTTAATGAGTGGCCCCTCTGGTTTGTATTGCTGCTGAGTTGCAGTAAAGGGCGGCACACATGATATGTGTCTCACAGAATCAAGTATGCCATAATCAGGTCGCCTCGTAGTCTGCGATAGCTTCCACTGAACAATCCCAGTCGTCGCAGCCTCTCCTGGTAAGAAAGATTGCGCATTCCAATTACGTTCTTAGATGCCCGGCGTTGTGGCTGCTCCAGTGCATTAAGGTCGTGTTTCAGCCATGGATGCTAGGCTTGAATTACGTATTCGGCATGGGGGCGAACATATGCACTGAACATTTGTCGAAATATGGAGCTGTTTATTTGTCCAAACGACCGCCGCAACAGCCCACGTGTTGGTTCCCTGTCTTCGAGGCCTTTTCGGATTGCCTGGAGCAACCCAAGTCATCTTGAACCAGGACACCCAAGTCACGTTCGAGAGTTGATTGTTGTAGTATATTCGTTCCGAACCGGTATGAGTAGCTGCTCTGATGTCGGATGGAAAGCACCTTGCATTTACTGACGTTGAAATGCAGTAAGTTTTGGGTTGACCATTGGTATACCGTACCTAGGTCACCCTGAAGCAGATGCTGGTCGACGTTCGTGTGGCTCCTGCGCCAGATCTTGATATCGTCGGCAAACATTAGGAAGTTTGAAGCGATTCCATGTGCAACATCATTAATAAACACCAAAAGGAAACGTGGACCTAGAACTGAGCCTTGCGGCGCACCACACAGGATTTGCATGGGGTCCGATAAAGAGCTCCGAACTTTGACCACTAATTGCCGTTGAAGTAGAAAGTTGGCAATCCAGCTTAAAAGAGGGTCGCCGATCCCGTAATTCTGGAGCTTGTAGTGTAGTATCCGATGGTCTAGACGATCGAGAGCCTTGGAAAAATCCAGGTAGATCACATTAACGCTTTCTCCAGCGTCAGCTGACTCAGTCCAACTATTGCGTGCGATTATTAAATTCGTTGTAGATGACCGATGTCGATGGAAACCGTGCTGCTCAGGCGTGATGATGTTACAGTTTTCCAGATAGAACAAAGGCATCGGCATCCATGAGCTTGAAGAGTGTATGAAGAAGGGATTCTGGGCGGTAGTTGAAGGGATCAGTTCTGCTTCCACTTTTGTGAATTGGGGTTAATATTCCAAATTTCCACATAGCGAAACTTGATTCTGGTCTAAGGAGCGCTGGAAAACCTGAGCTAAATATTCTGTCAGTTGGCTTGCCGTTGCTTCCAGTGCCTCTGGACGAATGGTGTTGACACTTGGCGAGCTGTGTTTGCGTAGATATGTCAGCTTTTGCAATACGCCGCCGCAGTAAATTGACGTGTGTTAATCCTGGCGGGGGGATGACAAATGCTAGAATATCGATTGATGGCAAGACCCTCTGAAAGGTTTAGGCATATTGCATGCGTAGCACGTTTCCTGCTTCCACGACCATTCTTTTTGGGCCATCAGCCATCCTGAGTGGAGAAAATCCTTGCCTCACCTTTTGCAGGCTATTAGCGTGCTTGTACAGCAGTTTTTGGTCAGCACGGAAGCTTTTTGCGATGGTCTGCTGATAGGCGACTTTGTCTTCTCTTACCAGTTGAGTGCAGTGGTTAAGTTGCGCTACGTAGTTGTCCAAAATTTCTGGTGCTGGAGCTTCTCTGTACACTCGCCATGCTGCGTTGCGTACTGTCATCCATTTTCGAGTTCTGCTCCTAAAGAAAGAAACTGGTGTACACTTATTGCAAGTACTTATCTTTAAAACATCTGCAATCAGCTAACTGAATTTGTTGCCGAACTCGAGCCAGGCGACTTCCGGGGGTTCTTCGGTGAGGAACATGTAAGTTGTAATGCTGACGAGCTGGGCTAATCGATGTTAGCTTGTGATGGTTCGCACAGTCTCATCGTTCTCACTCCGATTTTCCGCATAGAAGACAAAGTTAAAACTGATGACTGAGTGATCACAGCGACACAACGAGCAATCTAAAACCAACACATCCATC